GGCGTTGGGCGCCGTGTGGGAGCGCCGCGCTGGAAGCGCTGGCTCTTGGGCCCGGAGCCGGAGAAGCCGTCCCTTGACGCGCTGCCCGCCGCGTTCGCGAAACAGCGGTGCTCACCCAGAAAGCGTCGGAGCCCCAAGTGGTTTTCCTAGGGAAAGCTGACCGGGCGCGGGTGAGGCCGACGGCGTGCGGTGCGAAGGGAGCGGGAGGGCGAATCCCTCTGGAGCCGAGCGGAGCCGAGCTCCCGTGGGATCAGCTCTGGTCTGGGAGGAATCCGGCTCCCTGTCCGCCTGGGATAGATGGCATTTCCTTGAAAAACAAATACAGATGTCCCTCAGCATAACTCACTCAGGAGCTCTGATCTGCGTGGACAGTGAAGTATTGGAAACCGTTTCAGGACTGTCCCAAACCGGAGCTCCTGTGGTCTGTCGATACATTTCCTCAACATAGACCAACTTTGTGGTAAATAGCGATGGTTGCAAGAAGCCAAGTTTTCTCTGATTTCTTATCAATGAAGCCCTCTGACTTCTAGAATAGAGTAGGAAAGGTGTTCTGAAGTAAACATGTTCTTGATCATCAGTTCAGCTGCTGTGTATATACCACATATGATTTTTCTATTTGCAGCACAAATAATCTGTCATGTTAACGTGGTTCCTAACTTTCCAAAATCAAATATGTAGTGAGCATCCTGTTACATGTTTATTTCTTGCCCAAAAGAGGCTAACTCAAAATAACTTCTGGTGATTACTTGGAACGAGAGTTACTGGCATCAGACTTAGTCGTAGATGAAGCTGTCTGAAGTTTACTCTGTGTGGAGCTACTGTTTCTCTGCTGTTGCTGTAATTTCTTTTAAAATACTAATGGATATTACACTTCTGTTTTGTTACTGCTTGGGCTGAGTTACTTTTTGCTGCTGCTTACAAGAAGTGCTTTTCTGTACAGCCTGTGTTAATCTTAAGATCACCACTTGCATAACAAAATACAGTTCAGTGGCAAATGAAATAACAAGATATTATTTAACATACGATAACTTCTAATATTTCACATTAATATTGCTCAGAACTGAAAGAATTAATGTTTTCACACCAAAGAATTAGAAAATACTCTGTGCGTGAACAAAAACCACCATTTGGGTGATTGCATACCTTCTGTTCCGATACCTACATTTCTAAATCCTCAGCAGAACTTCTTGATTTTCAGTAGCATTTGTGGAAAGTTAGAACTGTAAATTTCAAGGCCGTTGGAAATGACAGCTAAAGAAAATACTAAGTCTCAACAGTTTGTCCTTTTCTTCCTGTGCCACTCCCCACCCCCCTTGGGTTTAGGGAGGGAATTGCAGATGATGTTTCCTTTCCACTCTTTCCAGTGTAGTGATTATAAATGGATTTCACCTTCTAATGCTCTCTAGGAATCTGCTCACTACCAGATGACTGATCTGGCTTTGTAGTAAATTTAAATGGAACATGCAATAAGTGTAGATCGACTGCTTGAAACCCGCTATTAGGAAAGGTGGGAGGAAGTAGAACATTTCTACTTAAATTGCAAAGAAAAGCGGTGGTAAAGATATTTCTGCCTTTATGGTACATTGGATCCACTAGAAATGCACTAACAACTTGAGCTCTTGTCTAAAAGTGATTTTTTAAAAACTAGAATCCTCGTAGATTCCACAGGGAGAAAACCACAAAACCCAGGGAAATACAACTCAAACTCCACGATAGTATGATACAGGAAAACTTTCTGAAGTGAGTGTCTCGCACTCCGTGGAGTGCAGAGTCCGATGCAAGTAATTCACACCAGCAAGAAACACCAAGGGGTGTAAGGCCACCTTTCAAAAGAAGGGGTGAGCTGGAAGGCTTGCAGGGCAGTTGGAGGAACATAGCTTCCAGATGTTTTGAGATGCAGAATTGTGAACTTTAACTTTGCACTTACTGAAAAGTAGAATTTGATATAATAAGGTTCCCCATACCTTTTTTTTTAAGGATCTGTATTTTGTAGTAAGAGAGAGATAGCCTGTAGTTACTGCTAGGTGATTGCTAGCTAGCAGGGATGCTTTGTCATCTCTGTCATTCTTTTGAGGAGCATTGTACTTTAAATACTCATCTCGTGTATTTCTTGATGTTTACATATTGTATCAATTGTAATCGTATTTGGCTTTACATTTTGAAGTACATTTACAGAAAAAGTACATGGTGTGCCCATTTATTATTTACTAATAAGCTGAAGGATAAGATGCTGTTTAAAGAATATTAAATACTGTTCTGTATGCAGGTTAGAGAAATGATTGAAGTGCACTTTAAGATTCAAGTATGGAATGCAGGAAAATAAATGTTTATTGGGCTTTTAAAGGCTGTCTTCTTTAATTTTGTTCCTTATTTCTTTTTGTACACCCATATCAGAATACTTCTTTGGTGACCGTATGTTACTTCTGCATATTCTTTTTGTTTATAAGGTCATTTACAGATTTAACCATGAACTACTGAAAAATTTGTATTATAAATCCATTTAAAACAATCTTGATTGAGATGCTTTAAACCTGGAGATAGCTCAATTACTTGAGGAAACAGAGACTAAATAGTTGAATTATCTGCACTTTCGCAGCACTTTCTTTTTCTACTAAATGTTTAGCTTAACATCATAGCAGTTAGATTATGTTCCTTCTGTCACAGACATCATCTTCAGTTTCTTTGCCTGCTCATTCTCTGCCAGGGTGAAAACTTCACCCCTGCTTAGTAGTCTAGCGCAAATGTGGAAAGTGCCAAACTTCTTAATGCGAGGTTGATCTTTATGAAGCAAGTTTAAAACTCACGTGTTCCTGCAGATGCTACCTGCCAGCAGAAATCCAGCTGTTCCTTGACTAGTAAGTCCTTCTCTGCTGTCTTCTCTGTTGCCTGCAAGTAGAAATAACTCAGTAGAGTGAATGCCAGAAGAGGTCTGCTTTGAAAGTGAGGCTGCTGTCTGGATGGCTGGCTGTGGTCTGATACAGAAATGGAACAGGAGGCCGCATAGGGTGGGCTGAATGGGGTAAATTCAAGATTAGTCTTAGATTTTTTGCATAGGCAAATTTCTGCACCTTGGTGGGAAACTTAACTGTCATATTTCTATTTAAGAAGTACGATGCTCTTAACACCCTAGTTCTAACAATCTAAAGCACAGTTAATAAAAATAGACAGTTATTTAATGGCTTATCCTACTTTCCTCTCTCCCCCAAAAACAGGTGTAGAAATACAAGTGGATTTGATTGTCGGACACAGTTGTCACTATACGGTAGTGCAGGTGATTCTTCACTGAGTCAAGAGAAGAGCTTTTCAGGAAAAGTGGCACCAAGTACTGAAACATACTTTCTTTTCAGTTTATAACTTGTGGGGTTTTTTCACCTGATTGAGAGAACCCAGAAATAACATTTCTTGTTGCATACTGTGGTGCTTACCTGTTTAATTGTTGTAGAAATGAATACTTAATTCTGCTTCGGGGGTTTCAAACTGTTGCAGCTCAAGAAGGTTGTGATTCTTTTCCTTTTGATGTGCTTCTCATCTGTGCTGTAGGAAACTTTAAGAAACAGTCATGAATATACTCGTTTAAGTGGTAGGCCTCGCAGTGTGTCCAGCACACAAGTCTGGGTTTTAAAGACTCTGTTTTCTGCCATGTAACTGTTTGCTGGAAAGGAAAAGTAGTTAGAAGCCTCCTCATGCTGTTGAGAACATGGAGATAAGCAGTTTTCTTGTGTGTTGGAAATCCAGTTGCTTAAGATCCAAACTTAGTATTTACACGGCTGGCCTGAGGCTGCGTGGTAGCTGAAGTAGCGCTGTGGGTCGGATCACTCTTTCCCGTGCTTGTGCAGTGACTTGCGTGCTAGTGGCCAGCAC